GACCCAGCTTTTATCTTACATATAAAGTAAGACAAAGCCATGGCATCCTAAATGACATCACAGTCCTGCTTCGTGTCTGTTGCTTAGTAACAGATGTCAGCGTAGCCTCAGAGTGTTTTGTCATATTGCTCATTTTGGTGTCTTTTCTGCGTAAGAACGAAGTAAAGCGCGAGAGTGAAAAGATGGGACAGAGGCGTGGTGAGTTTATGGGACAGATTCGAAGGTCGAATGAGGCCAGTGGGTGAAGTTATTACAGCATGACAGAGCAGATATATTCTGCCAAGTCATGATTCTCGCTTTGCTCCGACTGTCTGGAATGTAGCTCATATTAAATCCTCCTGATTCATTAGAGCTGCTGCACAGTCACTGGTTGGTCAGTGCTGACATGTAACCAGCAGACGTGCTTAGTCTGATTAGAAATGGACTCCTCAAATAACCTAAGCCTTGTAATCAATTGTATTGGACAGTTGGACTTTCCAAGTGATGAGAGTCTTCTTTGATGTGTTGGTTAGTTGGAGAGCTAAAATGATTTGTTATTCAGTAAACAGACAACTGTGGACCATTTTGATAATTGGTTATCAAAGTAAACTCTCCCCCCCCTTTTCTGTTCCAGATATTTCCAGAATATCATACTATGCTGGTGAGTACGATTCTTTTATACGGACAAGTATTGTTAAACTACCTATCAACTAATGGTCGAAATGAAATTCTTATACTATTTTAAATGTAAATATATTTAACATCCACCACTAGATGATAACAAGTAGTTCTGTAAGTTTGTTTGTGCAATCTCTATGAACTCTTGTATAAAAAACTTGCATTATAAAGGTTTCCTTTGCATCCTGATCAAATACAGTTTTGCTTTTGGTCAGAATTTGGTGCCTGATGTAAAAGAAATTAAGATAAATAATGTCAACCACTTAATAATAGTGATAGTATCCTTTCATGATGATTAAGAGTTCTTTGGTCTCAGTACTCAGACTTAAAGAGGGCTGGTGTTGCCGTGTCATGGGATGGATCGAGGTAGAGCTTAAAATTTTGTACGTATAGATAAGACATTTTATGGCCCTTAGCTCCAGTCTCTCTCCATGGCTGTTGCTAGGTAACTGTTAATCCTATGTTTTCAAGGAGGATATTGTATATTTGGAGCTCAGAATTTGTCATTCCTGAAAAGGACAGATATATAATTTATATTTCTTGGCCTTAAGTTTGGCAAGTCTCCAGTGGGAGACGTGTTAGGTGTTGGTGTTGAGGTTAACTGAAACTTAAAATGAGATGATGCTTTTTAACTTTGCTAGAAAGTAATAGTAGTATGGCTCTCAGTGTACAGACTGGATAAACTGAACATCTGTGGCCAATAACAGCCCTGGGAATACTCTTATTCTCAAGACCGCTGATAAGAATCACAAGTTCATTTTTAGTGGAGAGCACACTGAACATAATATACAGCCTCTGTAACCCTATTGGGAGGAATGCAATAATTTAAATAGTGATAAGACTCACAACACAAAGAAAGACTGATCTGGAGTCATGGCATCAATGTGCCGGAGGCATTTAAGCCCCATATGTGGTTTAAAATATAGTAAATCAATGAAAAATAATCTCTCATAACTGATTAAAAAATCAGTTTCTTCAAAAGCTGAACTTATTTTGTCTTGATTTCATATTGCATATTTGTTTGTCATTGTCAGTGAGCTTAATAGTGATGCCTGATCATTGGTGTTCATGGTGCATTGGTGCCCATTTTATGACACTAACATGAACATGTTGATATGTTGTGCAGTTTTGTTGTTAAAATGGTTAGGGTTTTAGTGCCCCAAAACAACATAAGTGTTTGTTCAAGTGACAGAGCCCTCTACTGGTGGTAGTGCAGTGTTTCCTCTATGTTGATTTTGGAGCGGCGGCCCGCCGCTGTTACATTTCTGCCGCCACGGTATCAGAAATGGGGCAGACGCACAATGTAGTCACGGTTGCCTTTTAAACTATCCTGCCGACATAATGCACCCCCGTTGGCTGCCGCTCACATTGCAATTTAACAACAAGTAGAACTATTCAGAGGTTATTGGGGCTGTCCAGTTTAACTCCACATACTGTTGTGCTGATGTAGCTTATTGTCAAAACGTTTGCTTTCTTCCAAGTCGACTATTAAACTGACGGGCCTGCCCCCACTGCTAAAAGAAATCCTAGAGGAAACACTGTAGTGGCCCAGATATGACTGCAGCAGAGGAGGAAGTCAGGTGATGTTGTTATGGAGTGACAAAGTTCAAGTCAGGAAGAGGCAGGTTGTGGATGCATGAGTCAATAAAACACTGGACTGAAAAGAAAAGACTTTTAAACATGACCACGATTGTTCCCCAGCTGTATCATTGTAACCATGACAACGATGTGATGAAGTTCCCCAATCCTTAACCATGGCATTGTCACATCATAACACTGAACAGTGATTTGATGGATGAGGTTGTCCTGTTGATGGGGAGCCATCAGGTCAGAAAACGCAATATCTGCCATATGAAGGGCAGATACAGACATCATCATTACATGAGGCAAAATATAATAATATTGAATAATATTGAATGATAATGCACTACAGCACTTTGCGTCACAAAATAATCCCAATTGTTTCAGTATTCTCTAGCTGGAGGCTTAGCTAGAAAGTGTTCACGATCATCCTGTCCTTTGGCACATCCGAGGGATTGAATGTCAGACTGCTTTATTGCCAATGAAGAGCTGGCATGCTGCAGGAGCAGGTGAAATATGTTTGGAGAGGAGGCGAGACAACAGAAAGGGAGGAGACAGAGGGCAGTAGAGACCTGCTGAGGGCAGTAGAGAGAGAGATGGAGGGGCAGACAGACAAGGGGGGATAATGAAACAGAGGGAAAGTGGTGTTGTAAGGGGTCAAAGAGTGGAATGTATGTTTTTAGTGGCTAAGCTCTAATCCCGGTAAGACTTTGTGCGTGCGTGTGTGTGTGTGTTCATGTGAGAGCCTGTTTATTAAACTTGGAGTGTTGATTAAGAGTTTGGTCCTATTACCATATTTATAAGTACCGTCCAATCAGCTCGCCTATTTTCCACTGCATCAAGTCTCAATTACAATATTTCTATCTCTCTTCTTCATCCTGTCTCTCTCTTTCTCTGCGCGCGCGCACACACACACACACACACACACACACACACACACACACACACACACACACACACACACACACACACACACACACACACACACACACACACACACACACACAGAGCCATTCCCTCCCTCCCTGGTTCTGCCCGTTAGTGAGCAGAGCAGCTTTTTCGCAGCGTGGTCACAGCAGCATATACAGAAAAAACAGCAGAGGAGAAACACTTGGCACACATGCACACACTCACTTTGTGAGTATTTTTGCGCACACACTCCCTTTGCTTTGCTGACACTGAAACACATTCTCCCAGACACACACACACACACACACACACACACACACACACACATGCACGCATTCACCTACTTGGTTAGCCACATGCACTCTTGTATACGTACGCCCTCTCTCTGGCTTCCACGTATACTCTCTCACTCTACGTTCTCTTTGGTGCACTCATTACGACTGCTCAAGGATTGCGCTGGATATACAGTGTGTGTTTTGCTGCGGCATTGTGTGTGTGTGTGTCAGTTTGGGAATGATGTTGTGATCTAGTTGCTCTTACGCTGCTCCAGAAGAAAGCCTTCAGAAGCAAGACTGAACGACACACAGCTGACTGACTTCAAAAACTAATATACTGCATCAATTTTTGTTTTCTTTCAACCCACTCCTGCAACATCATTTTCTCTTCACAGTTCTCCTCTCATCCTGTCCTGCCTTGCTTCACGTCACATCTTTTTTGTTCTGGACTTTTTGCTCCACCTTTCCCTTCAGGTCTCTGTCACTTTATGTTTCTCTCTGACATCAGACACCTGCTTTGACCTGGTTAACTCCTGCAGGCTCAGAGCATTGTAGTGAAGCTTTGGAGGATGTGAGGCTCAGCTTCTCCCTGGGGTTTCTCCGCTTTCTCTCTTTCTCCCACTCTTCTTCTTTCCCTTTATCATTTTTCCTTTAATTATTTCTTTAGTTTTGGTTGGTTTTCTGTCCTTATTCTCATCTTTTAGTCTCTCCCTGTGTTGTCTTTCTTCTTCTGTCTTTATCCTTCGTTCCCTGTCTTGCTCTGCTTTTTCCCTCCTGCGTCGGTCACTCTCATCCACCTCTCCCTCACTTTGCTCCATTTTTCTATGTCTCTCTTTGCCCTACATTTTGGTCTCTTTTTTCATTGATGCCAGTTTCTCTTTTTTCCTTTCTCTCATCCTTCTTGCCATCTCCTTTGGACAACATTGTGGATTTACAGAACAAAACTACCACCTTTCTTGTAAAATGACACTTTGATGTAATTATATGGAGTCCTACTCTCCCAGCAAGGGATGTCGGTGTTATTTCGTAACCTGGATGTTTGACACACAGTGCTACACCTTGAGACTTTATAGCTGCAGGGAAGCCGTCATCTTTGAATTTCACATCAAGGATTGATTAATTGGATCAGCAGCCGAAGACCTGAATTTGATATTTTGTGAGGATTTATTGGACCGCAGGATGGCCTAATGGGTAGAGAAATAATCATCCAACCACAGAAGCCAGGGTTGAATGTCTGTTTTGGGAAGCCTCCACCCTGCTGAAGTGTCCTCGAGCTACTTACTGAATCCTCTCCACCCACAAGTGCTCCATCTCCCTGAAGTGAAGGAGCGAAAAATGAACTTCCTCACAGGGATCATTACATATCACATTGCACAGTGGTGAACATCTTTTGCTGGGTTAAAGGTCATCACGTGTCAGGTCATTGGGCGGATTGTAACTAAGACCTGGACCTACCAGGCAACTTCCTCAAATCCTGAAGTAATATGATGTTTCAGCAGGCTTAAGGAGAGTGACTCGCTGTCTCGTGATCTGAAGCTTGGATTACTGAACCAGTCAATTACTGAACCAGATACTGTACTTCCAGTTTTCATTGTCTTTCAGTTGTTGCAGAAGAAGGTCTTACATCCAGATTAACTTTGACTTGGACAGATTCTGCATGCTGTGCCACTGTGGATGTGAGAAGCTGAGTCAGACCTTTATCTTTGTGTTATTTAAAGGTGAAAACATTTGGAGCATCTCTATCAGCTGGACTTGGAGCCTGTTGATGGATGTTGAGTGCAGTGGCTGCTAGAGCATAGACAGTCACGGACTGATATTCTCTACCTCCTGTGGGGACACTTGCTGTGTCATCAGATTTTACAGTACAAAGGATATTTGACATCCCCTGTTTCCTCTTACTGGGCTTTTCTTTGCTTTTCTGGAGTTACTTACAACCCTGGGACACCAGCTTTGATAGTTTTTTTTTTTTTCAATTTGCGTTTCCTGTGGTTGAACAGTGGATACTATCACCCCTGTAACCAATGACAGCACAGCAGATCTCAATTTCTAACTGTTTTAGGGAGACTTTAGGATATCTCTATTTGCTTTTCCTTGGTTTATTTAAATTGATGTACCAGGAGTTTTTCACTGTTGTTTAAAGCCAGGTAAGGAGCAGGTCCTAGTCCTAGGCTCTATGCTTTTTTCAGGGCCCAGCAGTTTTGTCTGGGCCCTGTGGCCAGACCTTAAACAGCTCCCTCTTCAAAACAAATGGAGAGCAGCGGCTGCATCCCTCTCTGCTGGAGCAAGGGGGCCTGCATCTACGCACAGCACCCCCTACCAAGTATGTACTAATAAGTGTATCAATAGAAATACATCGTATACAAACTGAATGCAAGTGTGCAGCATGTAGTTGAATATGTTCTTGTTTACTCTTTGTATTTAATTAACATACAACGTGTTTTGGCAGGCTGGTTGGATTTCATTTACATGAGCTATGTTTTCTGCCTCATGAAGAGTGAAGTTGCTAAACTGATTTGTGTATTTCATCACCATGGGCTTTGGGAGAGGTTTTAAGTAACATTATCACAGTGGGTTACGATACACCTAAATTCCTGACTAAGAACTCATGACCAGCTTTAACGTCTCGAGCTCTTTGTAAACAGGAGAATGAAAAAAGCCGCCCGGAGTGCTGCATGACCAGCTGTCAGTCACAAGCCGCCCGGAGTGCTGCATGACCAGCTGTCAGTCACAGGAATAACCTTTGTTTTGATTTTCCCTGCAGGTCCATGTAGCAATGCAGAATGGCAGGTCAACAAATAAGTTACTTGTGTACTGCTTCATTTTAACAGCACTTGATTTGATTTAATAGGGCAGTGTGAATCAGAATCTTTTTTTTGCTTTGGTTCAAGCTTTTGTCTGAAAGTCCGACTGAACTACGGTTGTGAATTCTTATCAGTTCATTTGCCATTTGGTTTAATATGAGCTGTAATTAGGCTGGTGAATAAGTGTGTGGGGAGATGGTGGTTATAAGTTACCCTGGCAGCCCTGATGTCACTGGAACAGCACAGAACACACACACACTCTCTCTTAGTGCTGGTCCTTTGGGTTTTTTTATTTGGTTACACCCTAGAAAAACATTGTATGGCAACAACAGTATTGGTCTTATTAACAACAACAGTATTGGTCAGTCACATATTTATATTTATTGATATACGATCAATGTTTAGACTTTAAGCTTCTTCTCTGTCCCCTGGTATAGATAATGCGCATCCTTGGCAGAAGACGGAAGAGCGAGTGTAGTTTTGTGGGGAAGGGGGAGGGCAGAGGAAATTGTTTGAGGATGAGAGAAAGATGAGAGGGAGGAAGGAAGAGAGGTGGTTCAATAGGACAGGGGGATCAAATGGAGATGTGAAAGCAGGAACTAAAAGGTCTGTGAGCATGTGAGATGAACGACAGGAGGAGATGCGGGGGGTGGAGAAGGAAAGAGTTGCAGATGGGGGGGGGGATGGAGAAAGATCTGGCATGTTAGGAGAGTGGAAAGGAAAAGATGAAGGCTTTGGAAAGAAAGACATAAAGATGGGGATAACTGTGAAGAGTTGAGCAACTGATGAAAATAGGAAGAGAAATGGATGGTAAAAAAGAGAGAGGAACAGGCTCCCCCAGGATTGTGCTAACCCCAGTAACCCAGATACCAGTTAGCCGAGGAGATAAACCGTCCTCCTGCTGCTGCTACGGGACAGAGCTCAACTCCAGCCTACTGTGGTTTTAGCAGGCTGACTGTCAGTCACTGGAGCCCCACTGAGAGAGGGGGTGGTGGGCCTGGCAGCCGTATGCTCCCCTCCTGGCTCCCTTCATGGCCTAGTTGATTTGATTCCTCTCCTTTTCTCTACGTGAGTGTGTGAGGGCAAGCATGTGGGGATTTAGTGCAGTTATGTTGAGTAGAAACTGGTGCAGTGAGAAATGGGTTTCATTTGTACTGTGCTGTGTAGTGCACCTATTTTAAAACAGTAATTTATGTACTACGAGAGCCATATTTTGTAGTGCCCCAAATCAGATTTTGCAAACTATAGAGTCAGGCACTAAAATACAGCCTTTTGTAATATTACGGCTGTATATTAGTTGTTTGTTTTGATGGCATGATGCACACGAATGCAGTGCTGTTTAGCAAGTCCCAGGCGCAGATCTTTTCATGCTGGATAATATAAAAAATGTAAAAGTATTCTATGGCAGAAACCCTTCATCTGTACCACAAACTGATGCTTTAGTTTTAGATCCACCATTTTTTTTTAGTATTTAGTATTTAGGGGCTATTTTAACACTAACCTATTTTCATAAGCGCTACTGAAAAGCAGGTAAACATACTCCATTTCCCAGTTATGTGTGACGTAAGTGTATTTACAACATAAAGTAGCTGTATGCATACGCCACGGCAAATGCAGGTATGCGTACTTCTCTAATAGGATTTCGTCAAGCTGTATGTAGTATTTAGGTTAAGGTTACGTGTGTGTGATTTTGTGTCTGTGTATGCGGTGGTGCGTTACAGCATTTTAGTGCTTAATATCTAATCTGATTACTGAGTGAGTGAACAGCAGCAGATGGCTGACTGTGGTTTATGACTCTATAGCTCCATGGGGGCAACTGTTTCTATTTTAAAAAGGAGTCGCAGTCAAAATAATGTCCCCAATACATTTTTTAGTGTGCCCCTCTGAGACGAGGCATGAAGGCTGGATATAAACTAAGAGAATAGCTGTTACAACAACCGAAGGTGTGTTGTGCAGCTGTATCACAACTTGTATACATTTCCACAAAGTATGTTTTGATATAAATATATCATTAAGCCCCAAGTACCGCAAACACTGGTGTACTGCATTAAAACAAATATGCTGTGACATTTGTTTTTGAGGCAACATCATTATAGTATATGTTGTAATTTATAAGTTGCACTATTTACAAGAAACGGCAAAATATTCTTATGTCATTACTCCAACATCCACCAAACCCTGATTTCCACCAAACCCCTACATGGTCAATTTGTAGTATGGTCAGTCTTATGAAGTGGTTCATAGTTCAAACCTTCAACCCCTTTCAAAGGGATACATAGATAGGGTCGGTAGTTATTAGCAAGACAGCTGGTATTGTTATAATGAGATGATGGAGTGGAATTATAGCACCAGTACACTCTTTAGGGATTGTAACAAGCCACCTAATAATCCAGCAGTATTATAGCCACAGTGGTATCATTTTAATTGGATGATGATAGTAATACTGTAAGAGGGACATTTGTAATCTAATCTTCACTAATCTGTTGTACTAAAGCCTTAAAGGTCTGTTGAATGTGTGGCCATGCTTGTGACCATTATACACTTACCTCTATTCATCACATCTACAGTATGAGTTCACTTTTAATAACCTTGTAAAATACAAGGTATGATTCCAGGGCTTCTTGCCCTTAGACAGTGGAGTGTTTCAATAAAACGGCATTGAAAACATACATTACTATTTAAGTTTACATACTTGGATTACTAAAATGTTTCTTGGCCCTTTTACATGTGAGAAAAAATATATAATTTTAGACAGATATAGCAAGTATCTTCCTAAAATCTAGAAACCAAAGGAAAAAAATATGATTTACAAAAAAAACCCAATTTATTCACAAAGCACACACGTATCTCAACTAGAGATTAAGGATAATTGCAATAAAATAAGATATATTTATAAAACAAGAGAACAATAGTAACAAAAAGGTTAATTATACCATGAAATGTGTAATAATATGATATGAATGAGTGCGAGGCTTTCATGTCATAACACTGCAATAAAAACTACAGGAAACTAGTGCAATGCCTCTCCATATACACAGGATGTAATAATGTAGATAGGACTTGTGCACAAGAGTTTTACACACATACTATTGATACAGCAAGTTCTTAACAGAGAGTGCTGAGTCACGTTATCAGATACATAATGTCCTCCTTTACAAATCTGCAGTCATTGTGCGCACTCACACACACACACACACACACACACACACACACACACACACACACCCCGATATGTATTTCTCTTTGAAGAAGTCTTTGAAGAGGCAACTGTAGGTCAAGTTGTTAAAAGAGCTGAATCAACATTTCCTGGATCACTCCATATTTCTCTCTCTGTTTCTTTCTCCCTTTTTTATCAGTGTGAAGTGATCTGGCTCTGACCTAAACACAGAAAAATGCTGAATGTAGTGATGTTAGCAGTAGTGATTTTCTGCTTGCTATGGGCTCGTTCAGAACAGTAATGAAACAACCAGGGTTGACAGTAACAGTAACTGAAAACACAGTTCCTCAGCTGGATTTATTGTCTCCATGTTTAGTGCATTCAATAAGTCATCCAATAAAAACAACTAGATATTTGAGCCCTGAATAACCTGGTAGATGATGATAATGATGATGCGATTACCAAAAAAAAAAAGGTCTGTTTGTAGTTCCCCAATATTGGAAATGAACCATAAAATCAGTCAGTCAATCAGATTTGGTTTGCTTGCGTCTCTTTTGAGTTCAGCTGAAAACGGTTACTGTAGTGATGATGACTCAACAAAGCCTGCAGGGATAACCAGGAAGTGACAGCATGACACAGGAGACAGCAGAGTGTGTGTCTTGCATAAGGATAAGATGTATGAAGATGAACCTACGAAACAACCTTAAAGAGGATAAATGGGTGAAAGACAGAGACAAAATGGTGCTTGTGTTTGCTTGGCTCTGATAGATTACAAAAGTCTTCCTTTTAAGCACTGCAGTATGAATATTATTCCTGCTATAGCCTCATACTGTGATAATAGAGTAAATGTGAAGAAAGCTATAGTTATTTTTTTTTTTAGGAGTTAGAATGTAACAGTGAGTTTAATTTTTTAACTTGTTTTCTGAATTAGACATCTAACCTTACTGTAGGTTTTCTTGTAAGAACGCAGGATGAATTCTGTAAGAATTCCAGAGGGTCCACCAGATTGGAAACTGCAGCCTAGCAGCCATACGTCTGGTTGAGAATAGTAGAAATTTGCTTCACAGAGACTCTGGTATGGCTTGGACGTGTTGGCCACTTTCACTTTATTTGAAAGGTAGGACTCAATGACCAGTTTACCGACAGACTGGTTCACTGACTGTTCTTTGGGTGGCTTGCTGTTTAACCCAGTGCTTGACAAGACTGACTGCCTGGTTGATTTAGAAGTTGGCTGACAAGATTGACCACAGTGTTTCCCACTGGTTGGGAATTTATTTATTTAAATGCATCTGATTTATGTTGAGCTATGAGTCCATTAGGTCCTTCTAAAAAAAACCTTGTGTCACTGTTTTACTGGTGTGTATTGACTCTTTACTTACTGACTGAATAATTTACTGGTTGGTAGCCTTACTGAAACACATAACCCCTCTGCATCACTCGGACACGTGCTCAATGATTTGTACCGCTCTCTTTCTACAGTTATTTGTTGTCTCAGTTTTATTATCTCTTCTCCACTTGTATTTATTCTGCATGAGTTCTCTTTTATGTCTTTATGATTATTATTATTAATGTAACCTGTGTTTGTGTCAATGTATAAATGTATTAAGTGCAGTATGAATGACAGACTGGTGGTGACTGAGGTTATTTGAGTGGGTGTTTTTCTGTCTCAGCTATTCTTTCAGCAGTGTGTTGAAAAGGGTTGATGAAGCAGTTTTGTTTGCATAATCTCCTTTTCCATCGAGGGCAGAAGACACGTTGATTACAAATTACTAGTAACTATGGAGGCACATTTTGACCTCTGTCCTCTCTGTTTGTCTCTTTTTCAGAATATGACGCCCAGTTAGCCCCAGCAGGAGCATCTGAGTCAGGCATGGCGTCGTCTTCCTACTTGGAACCCAACCACAATCACGCCGCAGCTGGTGGTTGTGGGGTTAAATCCCGTTCTGGGATTCCCGGTGGTACTGGTGTTGGTACCAGCGGCTCTGCTGGAGGCCTTGAGCGGCCCCCAGGCTCCATGGACCGGGTTCTGAAGATCTTCCATTATTTTGAGACAAACAGTGAACCATGCACCTGGGCTAGTAATATCAGGCATGGAGATGCTACAGATGTCAGGGTGAGACGCACGCACATTTTCTTACCCTTTCTTTTTTTAGCCTGCTATCATCATCATTTCCCAGATTTTTACCTTTATTTTTTTCATCCTTTCACTTGTTTCAACAGGGTGTTATCCAGAAGATAGCAGAGATCCACAAACTGCGCTGTGTGTCCTCTCTGGGTCTCCGTCTGACCCATCTGCACTCTGATGCACTCCATTGGTTACACCCTGATTTGGGCGTGTCTCACGTCAGGGAGAAATATGAGAAACAACACCCCCAGGATGAGTGGAGGTAGAATTACAACCAGATTTAATGTTTTATACTCACTGTCTGCTCCCAGTCACCATGTCTTTCCTTGTTTCACTTTTTCCATAAGTGATACTAGAGAGTAATTTATATGTTTGCAGAGTGTGCTCAGATTAGTGAGCAGAGACCATCAGTACTCCCTTGTGGTCTAGGTAGCTGTAGGTTGATACGGGTTCTTTAAAGTGCCAATATCAAACAACAGGCCAAGTAACATAACATTACTTAAATCTCCCCAGAGGAGAACAAGAGGCTGATCTTTACAACAAACATGCCATAGTGGACTGAGCAGAAGCAGCACTTGCTACAAACCTACTAACCAAGAGTATTTTATTAAGCCTACTTTACAAGCTACAGCTACATAACATATGGTCCCAATGAAACCATTTTATACTGTCAATAAATCGCAGACCAAGACCTGTAACGTACTACATGTGAACTACTGTATACAAGCAGTAAAACATAAGCTATTACAACAAAGTATTTAACATTGAGTTGCTCCATTTACCACGGCCTCTGTGTTGATTTTCTTGAAATTTAAAAGTCATCATATAATATGCTTCCTCATTCATCCATAGCTCTCTATTGTGAATACAGAGGAAGTACCAGCCAAAATGAATAAAAGGTTTACAGTGGCCTTTATCTACCTGACTTCATTGTACAAGTACATAACTTGAGTGCAATAGTGCTTGCTAGTATTATTTTTTGCCCAATATAACTATAATTTTCTAGTCTTATTGTTCCCATTTATTAGATGCAGTAGCCTAATGCCATGAGAGATGATCTGCTCTGTCCAATGAAAGCATTTCTCTTATTTATCTGTCTTATTTGAAAGCAGCTCTGTCCATTTTCAGCCTACATTCAAACTGTGCTGGCACTTAGCCATCTGCAGTTGATATTGTTAACAGCTCTCCTTACAATTCAGTCCATTGTCCTGCAGTTGATGTGTTAGACCCAAAGTCATTAAAATTGAAATGAATTCAAAATGAACGAGTTGTCCACACTGTTATCACGGAGCAGCCCTGCCAGTTGTTGCAGCTCTGCCTCAGAGGGCGGTAGAGCTGCGAGCCCACAGGAGCTTCTGCTGCTGCCAAGCTATTGTTAGAACAGCAGAAGTAGCCCAGGGGATGGACTGACTCTATCTCACTCCTCTCTCGCTCCCTCGCGTGCTTTTTCTCATTCTGTCTCGTGCGCTCGCAGTCGTTCTTTTTCCCTTTGATCTTTCTCTCCATCCTTCTTTCTCTCATCTCTCACATCTGTTTTCTTTCTTATTCAGCTCTCTCTCTTTTCTCTCAAACACACATCATTTTCCCTCTTCTCACACTCTCTTTTTGGTTCATTCATTATAGAACGAGGATGTTTTATTCATTTTGTCTTCAACCTTGATTTCATTTGTTAACTAACTACGAGCCTGTAGCATCGCAATAGCTTGGAGCTCACTACTCTCCTGACCCATTTCTACACTACTGTAGTCACTGCAATATGTCAGTCATAAAGTAATATGTCACTATAAACAATGATGGGCCATCTGTGTACTTCTGTGACACAGTTAACTGGCAAGTGTAACAGCAGGAATCTCATTATGCTTTATTGTATTACAAGGTTATCACTCTCTCAGTAAAGTTCACTGTCAGCAAAATATGAAATCCTGTCTTACTGTGTCACCAGGCGGTCATATGGTGAGTAGAAAGGGCATCTTCCAACTTCAAGACTTTGCTTCAAGCCACCCTGCTGAGGTGACTTTAGACACAGATTCTGCTGCTCCATTGGTGCTATAATGTAGCTAACATGTAGTTCAACCTCTCTTTGAAGGTAGAGCAAGAGGAATACAGAAAATACTGCAATAAGCAAGCACAAGAAACTCAAAACGTGTGTGTAGTAGAGGTGTTATTTAAACCTTTTCATGAAATACAACATACAGCATATGTGTAAATATTTTTCCATTATCTTTAAAATAGATGTGGGATTATTTGAACTGTAAGTGATTTTGAAATTCCCAAGCCTTGAATTGTTGAATTTTTTGTGACATTGTAATATTTGACGTTTTGAATTATTAATTATATAAATGAGGCTCCAAGTTGTATACACCAAAACCATATTCTTTAATTACAAACTGTCTATTTGTGAATATTGAGATGGCCTTTCATTCTCTAGTATGTCTCAAATTGGGCCAGAGTGAGGCCTTTAAAATGTATTGAGGTCTGTGTGTGCGTCAGTTGTATGTATGAGTAAGCAACCTCCTTCTGTCCTCAGACAGACACTGAATCTGGATTCTACAGGTTATTTCATTCTGTGTGTGGGTGTGTGCACTGATGGTGGTTATTCAGCCGAATTGTCTCTGTCATTCTCAGGTATGAGTTGCGGATGCGGTACCTACCTAAAGGTTACCTCAGCCATTTTTCTGAAGACAAACCCTCTCTTAACTACCTCTACCACCAGGTGAGGCAACACAGCAAGACCACACAATAAGGAGACAGAAAGGAGCCCTCCTTGTGAAATAACGTAATTTTATTTAATGTAATGTTTTAAATGATATCTATGATTTCATTGAACCTATTCTGTCATACATTGTCTGCTCTGTCACTTCATCCCTGTTGTTTTTAAGTCCAATAAGGTAGACATGCCTTAACAGATCATTAAAACGATACCTAACTGACCTAATTTAATGCTTTTAACGTTAACGCTTTAACTTACTTTAATGCTCTAACTAACTGTGCTGCTACACTGTATTTCCCCAGGTCAAGAGTGACTACATGCAACATATCGCTGATCAGGTGGATCAAGATGTTGCTTTGAAACTGGGCTGTTTGGAAATTAGGTGAGAAATGCACACACATTAGTTCTTATACCACCATGATTATTATGTTTGCCTCAAACAGGTTCTTGTCCATAAGTCATTGCTTATACAGAGAAGATAAAAAATCTATTGATGAACATTTAATACTGTGTCTACAAACTGTATCTTCTTCTGTCTGTGAATCATACAGGAGGTTCTTCAGAGAGATGCCAGGAAACGCCCTGGATAAGAAATCCAATTATGAACTACTAGAGTAAGATTGATTTTATTTGTATCATATTCCCTCTCATTTAGATGTGAAGTATCTTACCAAATACATTTCAACTATTCATAGATCAATGTTGTAATGCTGTTGTTTTTAGGAAAGACGTTGGTCTGAGAAGGTTCTTCCCCAAAAGTCTGCTGGACTCCCTTAAGGTGAGGCTAAACCTCTGTTTATGTAGAAACAAAATCAGAGACTTTCATCTTCGTGACTAACTGGCCAGGGTCTCCCATTTAAGTTCCATTACCAGATAACAGAAGTGACAGTGGCAGAAATGTCTTTGGTATACCTAGTACCGCTTAGTCGGCTAGATGAGCTAATGGCTGTTTGACTGAGTGACGGGCAAGGAGACCAACTTGATGACTGAGTGGATGTCTAGCTGAATGTCTGATAATCTGATTGTCTGGAATTAAGTTAAACCTCCTGTTGTCACTCCCAGTGTGCCTTGTCAGTCGTCTCTTGTACGTTTCTTGGCTCTGAACCAGCTTTTTCTACTTAACCATTGGAAATGTTGTTTCTCCCTCTTCCCAACTCTCTATCAGGCCAAGACTCTTCGTAAGCAGATCCAGCAGACCTTTAAGCAGTTTGCTAACCTCAACGACGAGCAGAGCATCCATAAGTTCTTTGAGATACTCTCTCCCATCTACCGCTTTGACAAAGAGTGCTTCAAATGTGCTTTGGGGGTAGGGAAACACTCAATTCATAAAGACAAAAAAGTCTATTCTTTCTATTTTCCATACCAGAAAAATCATACTGAGTCAGAATCTGGGAGGTTGAGCCTATTTAGCATGCTCAGGATAGGAAACATGTAGAGAGGTTTGTCATTGTCATTGATTTAAATGGCCTGCCAAACATAAATGGTGAGGTTTAACAGTTGCAGTTATTGCATTTGTTCCACAGTCCTGCTTAGTATCAGATCAGCATCTATGTGAATAATGCAAACCTCCCTCTGTCCAAGAGGACATTTTAATATTGAAAGCAGTGAAAACAGACATTAGAATTGTTTTATGCTATTAATATTACATTTCTGCCAGTACTATGTTTAGTTAATAAAGCAGATGATATGATGAAATATGACGTCTATTTTAATGCTTTCTCTCTCTCTCTCTCTCTCTCTCTCTCTCTCTCTCTCTCTCTCTCTCTCTCTCTCTCTCTCTCTCTCCCTATCTCTATCTCTCTCTCTCTCTCTCTCTCTAGTCTAGTTGGGTAATATCAGTAGAGTTAGCTATCGGACCGGAGGAAGGAATCAGCTACCTCACAGATAAGGGCTCAACGGTGAGTGTGCACATCTTACAAGGTCAGTCTTCATTGTGAGTCGTGTCAATAATTATCAAGTTCAATATTTCTGAATTTAAGAAGGCTGTCAAGAGTACTGCAAGCTTTTAATTGGAAGAACAGAGTGACAGTACACCATGCTGCCCTCTACTGGTTTGCCTCTCTAGTAGACAGATTTTCTTTCTTCTCTGTAGCCCTTGTTGCAATGACTCTTGAAATGCTTTGGCCAGGTAGATTTAGTTACAAAACAGATAATATAAGTTAGAAAAGGCTGTATGTGTGAACACCAGGTGATGTGATTAGGAAAACTCCACAGCTGCTTGCTGCAGTGACAACTCAATATATATGTTAAAAAAGCTAAATTGAGTTATTAAATTTCATCTTAATGAGGACAAACTGCCTGTCAAAATGTCAACAATTAATTTAGTACCATACGTTGATTTTAAATCACAGCTTGTCCTCTTTGGCCTTCATAAATACATTACAATTTATTCTTGTTGTTCTGGTGCTCACTGTTAAAGGTCTGTGATTACTGTGGTTGATATTGTTTGTATCTAACAATAGAAAAACATGACTAGCTGATGACGAGTGACATGACTAATTATCTACAGTTCTTTGAAAAGATTTGCGCTGAGCCGAGTAAAGGGCACCAACATAAACATGTTTGTGTGTCTTTCTTTGTTTCTGCAGCCTACACACTTAGCTAACTTTAACCAGGTTCAGTCCATCCAGTACTCTGCTTTGGAAGAAAAGGACAGGAAAGGCATGCTGCAGCTTAACGTAGCAGGAGCTCCAGAGGTGAGAGAAAACACACACAACACACACACACACACACACACACACACACACACACACACACACTCCTTGCATACTGTTCCCTCAGCTTGGGGTGGCTTTTGTGCCTCTGTTGTATTTGAATTTCCCCTCAAAACATAAATAACTTTTAAACCATTGATTCACATGGAGTTGAGGCATTTTCAAGCTGCAACCCACTGCCTATATCTTCATCGAAAACAATGCTTTACAAATAATATCAGGCGAGATATATATTTTTTATTCTTTCATCCAGTTGTTATGCAGAATTGTAAATGTTCTACATGTGTAACAAGCATGAAATAACTTCTGCTTGTTAGACATTGCATTTTAAGTTGTAGTAACACTGCATTCTGCAGGAAAAAACAGGAAGTGATGTAGGTGAAAGAGGGAAACAGCACATGGGAGGGTAATGGCATGTGTTGTCATCTGCACTCGAGTGTCAGTATGAGTATGTTTGTCAAAAGTGGGTGTGTGTTCGCAGCAGGCCTTACAAGAGGAAAAGCATGTGTGCATCAGTGCTGGAGTACTCTGTGTGTGTGTGTGTGTGTGTGTGTGTGTGTGGATATGAGCAGTGGTAGGAGACGTTATCCCTAATAAAGCTCTCATTGTGTCACTGTGAAGCAGCGCTCTGTCCCACTATTACACTCATCCTTGTGTGTGTGTGTGTGTGTGTGTGTAGCCCCTCACTGTCACCACGGCAGCGCTGACTACAGCAGAAAACATGGCTGACTTGATTGACGGCTACTGTCGGCTCGTCTCCTCAGCTACTCGCTCCTTCATTGTCAGAGTCCACAAAGGTAGGACGAACAACTACTCTTACATTTATTTTGTGAAATTTTGATATTTTGGGGTCTTTTGCAGCATTATGTGTACAGCTAAATGATGATTGTGATCATCTTTGCATTGTTTAGATGGTAAGAGTAAGTAGCAAGTAGTAGACGGTAAGTAGCAAAGAAAAACGTATACTATAAATAGTACTAAGTGTTAGAATTGCTGTCAGCCGTCTTTCAACCCGTAGTGAAGTCTGATGATGGCTGATGAGACTTTAAGCTTGTCACTTTGAATAACCACCCTGTGTTTAGCTAGTGTTCTCTAAAAATAACTATGGCTAGAAAGACATGGTTACAGGATGTAGCTCTAACATGAGGCCAGTCTCTTCTGTGTTTAATTCATGTGTTCATTTTGTCTCTGTAGAGGGGGACAGAGCTCTGCCTTCCATCCCCAAGTAAGTCACCAGACTCACTCTGTCTCATTAGTTGCTTCATCACATAAAAACAAGGTGTTGTAATTTTCCTGTGAGACATAAAAGAGGTATTGGCAAGTCCAATTTTTTTGCCTTTTACCAGTACAGCTTTGTTTGTTGTCTTAAGTAGTTTTTATTTAGTGATTTCACTCATTTTGTTTTGCACTTCAGAACTTGTTTTGAGGCAAATTTGAATGAGAATTTTTGCTGACACTAGCTACAGCTCGGCTTGTCTTAATCCTGCTGATAAAATTTGAAGTATTTGAAATGCCCATATAGTGAATATTATATTCTTAATAATATATAGATGTGCTTTTGTGTTCTTGATTTTATAATCTTTGGAAGTGGAAAGATACTCCATTTATCTGGTTTCCACGCTTATCTTCATAGCTGAGACTAGAAGCTCATTCATTATAAATTGGTTTAGCCTAATGTGAGTGAAAAATGATTCTCTCATCTCTGGTCCAGAGTTTCAAATCATGAGAGGCGGATGGAAAAACGGATGGACGGAGTACGGACCAGAGCTGTTTGCGTCTCAGGTATAAATCCCTGTCTCTCTTTCTCCTGGACTGCTAGTCTGTTTCTCCCATGCTGATCTGCCTCTCTGTCTGCTGCTCTGAATGTCATTAACAACAGTGACTGCTAAGAGTTAGATAAAGGGTTCATGGATATGTGTGCGTACCCTGTTTCCCCTATAAAGCCTCATCTGTGTGTGCAGTGAAGAGTCCTTGTCTCGCCAGATGTCCCCATGGAGAGTTTTAGTCACTGTCTCTCTGCCCTGACTGTCTACTGACCTCTGACTAATTCACACTCACGCAGAATTAAACGAAAATTACCTTGAATATAGTATCATTAGATAATGTCTGTGACCTTATGTGTTTATCTTATAACAGAAAAACTAACACTCCCTTTCTTTTCCTGCTCTGTGTGTGTTTCATGCTGCATGTGGGTTCTGCAGGTCAGACTAGTGGCGATGGTAAACAACATTCTTTCTATTAACCGTCCTAGATTAGTAACTCAGTAGAAATCCTGCTCTGTGTCTACATTCAGCGATACTGTATGTGCGTACAGTATCTCTCTCTGTATCTGCCTGTAACAGTTTCAGCCTTATCCATTACTCAACCTGTTTTTCTTCAACTTGTTTCTGTGGAAAAAACGAACCTTTCCATCCCTCCCCTTTCCTCTCCTCTGTGTCTGTCTCTCTCTATTGTACTCTTCTGTCTTACATTCCTCGTGTGCAGCTGTTTTATAGTACATGAACATTTAAGTTTTTGGGAATCGGGTATGGTGACGGTATTTTGGAAAGGTACTTCTGTCTGATGGTGTGTTACTGTTTTTTTGTGTGTTTATGAAGGTGTGTTCAACTTCTTGAAATGCATGCAGTGATTTTATTTGTTCACTTCTTATATTAATAGTGGTTAATCTAAGTATTTTACAGAGACAGGGTTATAATTATTCAAATTATATATATTATACAATTTATTTTGTATTGATAAGAGAACTTTGGCTTCATGTTATCTCAAAGAAGCTAACCTCTACGTAGTTTGAAGCTTGTTATAGCAAAGTGGAGTTATAGAAGCTTGTTGTGAACTCTTTTTCTTTTGTGTGTCACCAACTGAGACTCAATGTTTCCTGGCTCTTCTTTCTCTCCCCACTTCGCTCTGGCTCTGCAGAAACAGACGACTATGCTGAGATCATAGATGAGGAGGACACCTATACCATGCCTTCAAGTAAGTAAGCGCACACATGCAAACAAACTTTGTAGGCAGTTAGTGTGTCCAGTGATGGGTGTCTTTGTGCACCTGCGTGTGTGTGTGCTCAGTGGACCTCCTCAGACTTGCATATTGTGTGTGTTCAGGTGGGAAGGTTAGTGGGGTGATGGGGTGAGGATTAAAGGTCTTTGGGAGACATAATTGTGTGTGGTGGTGCTGTAGACCTTAGTGTGTCTTTTTTTGGGGCTTACAGTTAAA